TTCACCTGGTACTCGTTTCACTGTTCGGATTTGTTTTTATCGGGGAAATGATAAATTATTTTCGTGCGTGACAAATAAACGACAAACATAAATGATCATAATCATTATACGAACAACGTTTAAATAAACCAATCCGTTTGCAACAATCAACCATTGCAAACATGAATAACGCGAAGTGTATTACTATCTATGAGAGGAACAGTCTTGTGCGTTAAACGTACGAGCAACGTGAAAACATTCGATCATTCGAACAGACTGCCGTGAACATAGCGTGACATTCAACTTACCTACCACCGTGGACATTTTCGGCTTGTGTGCTGTTCTACGTCTGGCCCAAGTTTTCTTATAACCGTTATTGTTAGTGATGGTAAGAAACGGTGACGATCGAGAGCATGTTTAGCGGCGTGATTGCCCACTGGCGGTTCTATCCACTTTCGTTCTCAAGCATACGCGAAGTTAACACACGAGTTCTCTTCGTCGATGAATCGCCCTACACGGCGCGAATACTTGAAAGAACAATGACGGCTATCTAAATGAATGGACACTCCTCGTGCTTCGCAAACGAAAAGACCGCTTGTCGAAAATTATATAACCTCCGCGGCAGCAAAGACGATACGATACTGGTAAGACGATGTTTTCGCGCGAGTTAGTAACCCACGAGGTCCGGCAGTACCACTGCTGCTACTGTTACTACTATCGTTAAACTCACTCTCGCGTGGTAAATCACGGCGACTTTAAAAAAAAAAAAGCCGTTTTGCGCTTGTCAAGTATTAACGAATATTTCCACGCATTCTATTCTTATACGTGATGCTCACATTACACGGCAATCACGGTGAACATGTTCTGTTACTTAAATTCACACACTTGAACACGCGTTCTGAACAACCATATGCTGCTTGTAACGTTAATTTTGTAGCGTGATATACACAGGTAACACAATTTGTTTATCGACGAAAATTACCGTGCACGAGGTAGAAATCGTAAAGTTTTCATCAGGGTGTGAATCGTTTCAGTAAAATGTTATCAAACGGAAAAACGAGCTTTTGTGGCCGTGATATTTCGAACCATAGGATTACGAGATAGCCTTGAAAATACCACCTCGTAAAAAAAAAGGTATAATGATTGTTTGATCGGTACTACGCACAATTTTGTATCGTGTTATTGTGAACTCTTATATACTCGTGGTGAAATTGTACTCGATTATTTTCACTATAAGCAAAATAAAAAAGAAAAAAGAGAGCGAGAAACGCGTGTACCGTGTGGCTTGATTGCCACATGTACACAGACTACGCGCGACATACAGCCGAACTCGATGCTCGGATGTTTTCGTAAACCTTCGGCAAGTTAGCTATGTCGCCTCGTTTCATCCTATTCTCCTTCTCTTTTTACTTCGCGGATTCTTTCCCTGTTTTCTCTTGGGATACTTCTTCGTACATCCTTTCACACGACCCATATATCTATTATTTTTACTCTTTTAATTAGCCTATTAAACGATCCCTAATTCTGTTGAAGAAAACTGTTTCATAAGATTCAACAGATTTCTCCCCCACCCTTATCTGTCTCATTTGTTTTTATTTATACACGCATCAGGCATATTTTCTCCGTCGATTGCACACAATGAAAATTACCGTTTCTTGAAAATTACGAATTTATACCAAGATCGAAAAGCAACAGGAGGAAGAAAAATTCAAAATAATAAATTCAAGAAAACTGATTGATGCAAAAAGTCAAGTGATTACACTGGCGTGATCTAATAACAATGTCAAGTGTCTTCAATAAGGTCGTCACAAGACTGATTTACACTCTGTATTACCGACATTTAAGTTAATACGTCGAAAGGAAAAGTCATTTCCTTTTGATATTTCTCTATTCAATTTTATTCCTCGCTTTAATTATTTTTTATTTGCAATTCAGAATATTTAATATTTCTGATATTATGCATAAGCTTCTATTTGCAAAATATAATAAAGTAAAAACACGGGATAATTTACTTTGCATGATGCTGATGAATGTTTTATATGTATATAAACACAATGCATAAATACATTTCTATATGTGTATGTACATACGTACATACTTACATACATACACACACATTTATATAGAAAAAAAGGGAGAGGGAGACATTCAGTAAATTACTTAGCCGAAAAAATAAGTACTAGTTGATGCATAAGGTAAGAAAAATTAGGAACTACATAAATTCGATATATCGGACAGTAGTAGAACTCGCATAATTACGATGTCTCTTCCACGGCTTCCATAATTTCATTAAGTTAGTTTTCTTGTATGTTTAGCGGTTAACTCTGCATGGATGAAATGAAATAATTTAACATTACCGAAAAACTTTAGTACATTAAACGTAGATAAATCCTAGAATATTAAATAATATAACGTTACTAAAAATGAAAAAAAATTAAATCGTACTTGAAATTAAGAAATAAATTCAGAAACTATAATTTATTATTACAGCAAAATAATTTAAACGAAAAAATTTTAATATAACCTTTTCAATATTGGTGTTACAAATAAATATGTAAAAAAAAATTAATAAAAGGTTACAGAAAATGTTTAACTATAAACTGTTGGATTTGAATGCATGCGATACGAATATACCACTACTATATTAAAAACAAAATTAAGGAAATTGTACAAAAGTTATCAATGCACATAAGTAATGTTACTCTTGACCAATCAAATTGCTATTATTCCTTCAATAATCCTTTGATAATACAAGTATCGAAGGTAAAGAAAACAATAAATGGATGTAAAATACTACAAGGTAAAAAATAAATGCGCCATACTGGACATTTTTACAGAATCTTTCGAACGGATAACCACATGGACCGCATGGTTGCCCTAACCTCAAAACATAACCTCCAACAAGTGATTCAAGCACACAATTATTACGAACTGCATAGAAAAGTATATATATGCGTCGAATATGAAAAATATGTACTTAAAATGTATAAAAATTTATGGTAAATTATAAATGGAATTTAATGAAAGTTGTACTCACCAGTATTTGGTATAAAACGCGGTGTATTAGTGGTAATCACGGTGTTGTAAGGTTGGGGCGAATGAACACTCGGTTGATTGACGTTCACTATAAGTTGAGGTTGATGCTGCGGCGGATTGTGATGAGGCTGTGAATGATGTTGATGATGTTGGGACAGGTGGTGTTTCCCTTTCGTCGGCATGCTCATCGCAAGCGTAGACCTCCCTTCTTTAAACTCTCCACTACCTTCAAAGCTTGTTGCCTTATGTGGCTCGCTGAGGTCCTCATAGGTACGTTCTTTTCGCACGTGCGTAGTTAAGCGTAACGTTTATCGAAAGACTTCTTTGTCCAAGCAAATTTTGCTGAAAACTTCAACGTACGCAAAATGATGGTTAGCGTTCGGTCACCCGTACGAAACTGGTGGCACGTTTACACGCGCGCGCACTTCAACCACGGTCAATTCATATACGAAACTTCGTGGTTCACTTTTTCCACACTTTTTTTTTCGTCAGAAGAAGACAGTCCTTGTTTGTATTTGCCGAAAAATTGTACGCTCTAAACGCACACCGTCTTTGTTCGCTGGTTCATTCGACTAAAAGTGTTTACGTTCTTATCACTTTCTTTTCCAAGATTCGCGCGCGGTTACAGTATTCAACTGCGCACGAACACTTATTTCTTCTTGCGATATCGATAGATTATTATCGCTAATAATCGTACCTACGTCGTTCTACCTGCCTAAAATGTCGCGTAAATTGTATGACAAATAGCATATGACTTGTTTTCTTGCAAGAAAAAAGAAGCGACGCGAACCTTACATTGAGCACAACCACAGCACGCCTTTCTTTTCGTTTCTTCCTATCTAACGTTTTTTAGTGGTAATACAAAAATCTCAACTCGTCGAACATTTGATGTAAAGTCAATCTGACACGGATTAAATAACCGTTCATAAATAATATTTATAAAACTATTTAATTATAAATTGCAATTATATTTGCATTAATTAATTCTTCGAAAAGGTACTATTTTTTCGAAACGGCGTAAACGATTTTGTAGTAATATAGTGAAACAAAACTATTCAACAACCAATCAAATACTTAGCATAAACTATGTAGTGAATATAGAGTCAACCAGATTACTATTTGATTAGTTCTTATCCATGCCATCCTGATTTTTAGATAATTCATAATATATTATTTAGGTCAGTAAAATTTTGAAATAAAAGTTTCGTTTAATAACAAATTTCAAAATATTTCTACATACTAGATTTTGCTACTGTTATTTATAGATGAAATATTAATTAATTTTTAGATAAAAATTTTACGAAAAACTAGAATTTAAAATTTCAACAAAATTTTATTGTAATTTAAAATGAAAAACATATTACAAATTTACAGAACAAAGTATAATGCATTCAGTGATATAGTTTTTAACATTAATATGGTTATATCAATATAACATTAAACATTAAACGATTCCTCTACAATATACGTATTATTAAAAATTATCAAACAAATACATATTTATTTATATACATATATTTTTCAAGAAATTTCACATATGTTACATTAAGAAACAGAAATATCACGTACACAAGAGCACATCTTTTTGCTTGTAGTGTCTATATATGTGTTTTTTTATGTGTGATTATGTCGACAATTGATGAATTTAGTTTAAATTATTATATTTTTGTTCCCGATTGTCGATTTAGTACATGCAGTTATTGAAATCATAACCACACATATTTTTTATAGTTAACAAATAATGAAATTTTTGATTGGAGTAATTGATAAACTTGTTAAAAAAAATACGTAATAAAACTGGTATGATTTAAGAATTTGATTTACGTGCATTTTAAATAATTATTTACCAAAACAATGTACAATAATATTGTAAAGTTGATTGTAATTGTAACCTCACTTCGTAAAGTTTGTACAATTATACAATTTAAATCCTTTTTTTACTTTCTGTTTCAGGTTTGTCTAATCACTCTAGCTTTTAAATTTAAAAATGGGTTCTCATGGTAAACTAGAAACTGAAAAATTAAGAAAAAATTTAGAGGCACAATTGGATAGGCTGGTGCAACAATTGGAAGACATAAAAGAAAATCGGTATATTTAAAAAATTATATTGCTTACAATTTTTTATTTAATCTTGGAATTCCTTTTGTTTTAATAGCATAACATTTTACAATGCTTACATATATTTACAAAATTGTTATATTTAATAGAAGTTCATTAGATGCAGAAGCTTATGAGGAAGCTATGCAACTCACAAAAGAGGATTTACAGGAATTCAATGAAAGTTTACAAAGAATGATATCTGGTGATACCACATTGGTTGATGAATTGGGTGCAATACAATTGGTGTGTTGTAAATATACATCTCTAAAAATTAAAAATAAATTTATTAAAAATTTTATAGAATATTAGATATAATATCTTTCAATTCTAAATAGGCAATTCAGGCAGCAATTGGTGAAGCATTTAAAACTCCTGCTGTTATCAGAATGTTTGGAAAACGAGAGACATCACAACTTAGAGACCGTTTAGTTCAAATTGATTGTGATACAAAACTTGGAAAACTAAGTAAAGAAGCTAGTGATCATCAACGTAAAGGGGTATTAAATGCTTTGAGGCAGCTTGGAGAGAAATTGGAACCTCAAGAATTACAGTTATTGGAAAAATTGATGTTTAGTAATATTGATACAACAAGTTATGTACAAGTGACTGAAAATACAGAAAAGGGACAAATGGCTATGGCAGTAGTAGGTAATGAAATTAGAACACAAAATGTTTAATTCTATGAATTTTCTCATTTTTTTATCAAATTAGTAATAGTAAATATGAATGAAACAAATGGATATAGAAAGAAATGGATAAATTAATAGTGTATGGTTTAACAAATATAAATGGTTATTTATAAAGATAATGTTTAGATTATATTGACAAATAAGTTTAGAAACAAAATGTATGGGAATGTGTTTCTAAATTTGAAAGAAATAGCTGTTTTTTATGATAGAAATTGATAAATTTTATAAATAAAACTTAAAATATGTAATAAACAAATATATTATACATTATATTATACTTAATGTATTTTGTGCAATGTAGATCATATCGACATTTATTTGTAGCTGTATTCGATCATTGTTGTTTAATGTATATAAAATATGTGTCTGCTTTATTTCAGTATCATAGCTCACATAAATTATTTACGAGGATAAGGAAACATATACAGACATTTACTTATATAATATTTCAGATCGTATCACTATTGTCAATATGTATACATACATATGTTATACAAACAAATTTGAACAATAGATTATAAATACTTATTTATGTTTGTAATAAATTTGTTTCTAATTGTCTGAATGTAGTATTCATTGTAATATGTAGAAGCAACTTTTAAATCAAGATTATGACATTTCGAGAAACCAAAAAATCTAATTGTTTGTTTTTCAAACAGGTATGTTTTTCCAAATAAATTTGTATATATAATAACTGCTTATTGTTTCTTACATTTCTATTGATATCTTAAAAGCAAAACTAATTACTTAATACTTACAAATAAGAATAGTTACATTTGTTTGTATACATACTACAAATGCTTCCATTTAAGAAGGAAGCTTACAAAAAGGCATGTCAAATTAGTGTCAAGAATATATTAATGTGCTTCTACAAAGTATCTTCCTTTTTTACAAATACAGCAATTTTAACTTCTTTCTCATAAATTCTTCAATATTACCACATTTATTGCACCCATTATTAATTTAACGTTTACGTCGGCAAACTCTTTTGTGCTCACGCTGCCAGTGAACTTGTTGGCAATCAGTACTGCAATATGCAGTATTCCAACAGCAATGGTATATTGCTTCAGCTTCACAATTGTAACACTAAAATTAAAAAACATATTAGAGTATTCACGAAAGAAATGTTAAAACACATGTGTATAAAGAAGATATTAAAAAATTGTACCCATTGTTTCTTCTTTATGTCTGATATAATTTGTTGATGTCTATCTGTCAGTTGTCGTAATTCTTTAGCATGTTCAGCTTGTAGTTTTTCTAATTCTTTACATTTTTCAAGTTCTAATTCACGACGTAACTTCTCTAATGCGGTTGTAGTTGGTTGTTCTGAAGTTCTACGTTCCCTCTTTATCTGTAAATTATAATGTTATAAAAGTGAGATAATACCGATACATGACAAATATAATTAACTAAAATTAATAGAGTCAATTCATAATTATTACATATTATACCTTTGCAGGCAATGTTTCTGTTTGTATTTGATCTGTCTGCACGAAAACACATTTGGTTCTTGGTTCTTGAGAACTAGATGTAACCATATCTTCTTGTGAACCTTCTTTCTTCAAACCCTGAGGACAAGTACTGGATATCTCTCTAGCAGGTTCATCTTCTGCTACTGGCAAACAAGGTACTTGTCTTTCTTCACTTCTAGCTTTATTTATCGACGATCGCTCATTGGGTTCGGTTCCTGCCTGAGTTGGTGGTATATCATTGTGACCGTCTGAACTAAGACGTTCAACTTTAACTCTTAAGTCCTTGAAAAGTTGTTTCGCAGAATTCGGACAGTTCGTCGTATTTTTTGAACTTGATGATTCTATATTTCGGATTTTGGTCGGTTTTGGACCCTCACTATCGTCGCCGATGTCCAAATCCTCGATGTTCTTGCCCAACTTTTGCAGCAAGTTCTGATGATGCTTCAGTTCTTCAAATGCTCTGTTCCAAGCAGTGGATCTTTTTATCTATGGAAGGTAAATTGTGCACGCTTTAAGAAAAGTTGATTTTTCTTCTGATTGCACAATGAAACGGAGTGGTGAGAAATTAGTTGTACACTTTAGGCCATAGTATGTGCATACCTTCATTTCTTTCCACTTTCCTTTTTCCGAAGGCTATGCAAGAATTCGTTGTTAAGATAATAATATACCTAAGTGCAACAACAATTTCTAAATTGCTTTCTCTCAACAGTTCTCTTCTATTGTGTCAGTGATACAATACATTGTAAATGGCGTGTAACCTAAACCGAGAATTTCACAGTGTCGCGTGACAATTTCGCGTAGAACGCCGGAAAATTTTGTGACACATCTTTACCTGTAAACTTTGTAGACTGGCAGTAATCGGACGAATGAACATTTTTTCGATGTTGGCGCGCATGTGATGACCTCCAAAAAAGCGAACATCATAAATGTTGCCATTAACTTGCATTACTTTAGCTGGCCAGTAGGGGTAGCCCTTTTGTTTTGCATACACTAACTGATGTGGTGGATTACAGGGAATGCAAAACCATAGTTTTTCAGATTTTTCATTTGATATCCTGTAGCAATCAGCACAACGGCGAATTTCTTGAAGATCGTAGCAGCAATCTTGATACATTGTGAGTCCCATTTCTCCTATTACGCTATGCGCTAAATAAATGGCCAGATTGATGTTACTATCTTATTTTTAGTTACATTTAAAACAGTTTATATTCTGTTTTCTAAATACATACCTCCATGGTACACAATAGTATTGTGTAGAATATTATGAGCATCAGCTTGAAACTCAGCAAGATTATTATATTCATTTCTTTTAATTTTTGAATCCATTATTGCTAAGTCCATATGGTGTTTTATCAGAACACCTGGTCGCCATGCATCTTCTCCTTCACTGATCCAAGTTGGGCCTGAATATCTATTAGGTGGTGTAACAATAGGATCATTGTTAAAAACAATAGTACGGTTTGTAATTTCTGGTGGTAATTTTGCTTTCAAATGTCCACAAGTGAAACTCAAAATGTGGTTGAGATCAATTTTATCTGGATATGTGTCATTATTTATACTCTGTAACAATCATTTCTACTTTATTAATATATAAGTTTTAAGTTTATTTCTAATCCAATGTACTTACTTCACAGAAACTACATATTTTTAATTTAATATTACTAGGCACATGACATTCAGGGTGATAAACTCTGTGACATTGTTGACAACATTCTACTATTCCTCCTTTCTGGCATTTGCAACAATACCAATCATGACCATCATTGTGTATAATATCTCCTGGCAATCTATAACTTTCTTGTTCTATACCATTCTTTGTTGGTACTTTTTTTAAATAAACAAGTCCATCATCAACTGCTTTATTTAATTCTTCCTGTGCTTCTTGCTCTGTAATTCCATACACCCGAGCTAGATGCCGTACCATACGATCATTACTTGGTAAACTTCTTTGATGTACAGTTATTTTGATAGCATCCCATATTCGTTGTGTCATAAAAGGATCAGTTCTTCGACGAAGAGACATGTTGATAAATTAACACTAAAATAAATAAAATGAATATTAAATACAAATTTTATCCAAATAGTTTTACTTTAAAGTATAAGCATTTTGAAATAAAAATATTATTTTCAATATATTAAAAAATGTTAAGATATTAAAATATATTCTTATACAACTATATCAGTACCAGCATTTATTATTACATAGATAATTACTGTGCCCCCATGGTATAGTACTTGTTATATCTAAAATGTAACAGTTATTGAGATACCCCCATGCTTAACACAATATATTACAATACAATACTTGTACCCAACAGTATTTTCAAGTAGTGCCTTTTTAAACTACACAAAGTATAAAAGTAAGTAGTTATACTTTTTAAAACAAATTTACTAATATTAGATTGATATTTAATGCAACACAAGTGAAACCATAATAAATCATATTAAATTTTGACATGTAATATGCATTCTATAACACTCAATATATGTGCATACATTTTACTGTTTGCCAATGTTATTACAATTGTGATTTTATTGAAAAAGCAGTTTAAACAATGGAAGAGTACACCATTATACATATTATCAGTGTCTGATGTATTGTTTTCTATATTCACATCAAGCATATTACTTATAATATGTGTGGAACAGGTAACTTACACAAGTAATAATAATGTGAATAATACATTTTTTAATGATAGTATGTGGAATGAAGAAAATGATTATGAAAATCAGTGGGTTAAACTTATAAGATTTACTAAAAATGTCAATAGTACAATAAGCCAAACCAATTTTGATGTAATACCTAAGTGTAATATCATAAATGTAATAGTAAAGTATGGAATATTATTCTTTCCATTCACAAATTCATTTGTGTCTTTATTGATGTTTTCTGTACAATGCAATTTAAATGTATTTAATTTAAAAAACCAATGCTTCAAATTTCTACAATCTGAAGAAAAAATATGCAAAGATAATATTAGTATTGAAAAATTTCACAACAAAACGCAATGTGATTCAATGACAAAACAGAATTTTAAGAAGATTTTACAAATTTTTAAGTGTAATGAAATAAGGAAGGATAAAAAATCTATTAGCATATTTGTAATAAGCCAATGGATTATACCCATCATTGTGACTGGACTTCTATACCTGTCTGAATATGATAGGAATTATACAGAGAACATGGAAAACACAAAATGTTTTATTGAAAGTATCTTTCTTCTTGATGAATGTCATAACAATGTTCAGCCTATAAGTATTACACAAAATACAAGTTCTGAAATGTATGCAACTTCTCCATACAAAAATTATGTTGATAATGAAGATTTAACAAGGTTGCAAAATTCAAACGCTACTCAAGTGAATGAAATAATAAATAAAATACAAAATATTGTTTATTCTATCCTAAATGATACATCTGCCATTTCATTTAATATGATTTCTTATAATGTTTCTGAACCCATAAATATGATAGAATATTTAAAACCTGATGCTGATTCCAAAATTATAGAGCAAAATAAAAGTCTTGAAAATGAACTCAATTTAACGAAGAATATATCACTGATAAAATATAAAAATTCTGAGAACTCAATTGGTGTTAAAAATAATACACATCTACAAAATAATGCACAATTAAACAATTATTCTGATGAATATAATGAAGAATTATTATTCTTTAATGAATTAACAATAAATTCTACAAATTTCACAATGAAAGAAGAAAATCACAAACATAATATTACTACAGATACCACTGAAAAATTACATTTCAAAGAATCAGAAACAGATGTTAATATTACTGAAGGCATTTTGGATAATTCTATGAATGTAACTATAAAACACAACACATCAGTTATGTCAAATGATCAAATATATGCTGAAATAGTTACACGTATTCATAATACACCTATACATCATATATTTCAAAATTATTATAATAAAAAGCAGTTAAGAGAAGTTGAATCAAAAAAAAATTTTCAACATAATTCTACTTTAGATACACAAAATGTATTATCAGCTATCAAAATGATTATTTACCAAAATGATAATGCATCAAAGATAATGCAAGTACATGTAACAGATAAATGTTTTATACCGATTCAGTTTTTAAAACTACATTTGCTTGTAATTGTGTTTATAATATATTTCTTGCCAATTTTATTTTCTTTAACCTTACAGCAACATGGCAAATTAAATTGCCAAATTATTTTAGAAAAATTAAGAGTAAAAAATAAAATGTCATTAGACAACTTCAGTTCTAATTCAATAAATGAGACTAATGATATGTGTTCTAATGTTTCCATGGATTCTAAAGGAAATAGCACTTCAATACAAAATTCTAAACACTTGAGTGAAAATTTTGAAGAACTAATTGATTTTAATGCAGTGCAGCATCTGGAAACATATCAAGAAAACTACAATAAAGGATGTGATGAAAACTACAAAAGTACTCAACATTATATTTCTTCATTTGATGAAAAAGATGTACAACTAAATATGATAAATCAAGTGGGAAATATGTTAAAACTTTTTGATACTATTAAAATGTCCTTATTAAGTGGGACATTATTATGGACACCTTTATTTTCTGAATTCTTAGTTGAAGTATTTACATTTTTGCATATACCACAATGGTTAATAAACACCACATTTTTCGCTGCTATTGCATTTGGTGTACTACGAAATATCTTTAATCTTAAAATGATAAAGCTTCAAGAAATTAACACAACTATTGCCAAAATTAATAGTGTACATCCCATTACATGAATCATAATTAAATTTCGTATTTATGTGGATTAATACTTAAAGATAAATTTTTTGTATAAATATTTAATTGTAACTTTCTATTAAAATATCTACGTAGATTATATTGTACTATATTATGGAAAAATAAATAATTTGACTCCTTCAATATTGCAATTGGTTGTTGACTCGTAATTATAATTATGACTATATAGTTTTATAAGAATCCAAATTTTCTTACCAAAGCTGATACACTAACTTGCTGTTCATGTATTGTTACTTTCAGATCGCAAACAACAATTTCAACTTTGAATCATATTTAACAATCAATTCATGTTCTTGAGCTTTACAATAAAACGTGTTTAAGGTGAAAATAAAGTTTTTGCCGACGCCCGCAAGCAATAATAAGACAATAATTAACGTTAGAGACGCGCAACTACATTGCACATCTCGCGCACGTCATGTCTAACCAATGCGCGCGCATGTTACAATTCAAAATTGAATATTAGTAAATGTTCTGAAATATGAAATTAAAGCAACGATATTTAAGTTAATATAAAATTTTAAGTTTACAAATAAGTGACATTTTAAGTTTACATAAAATTTAACATTTGGGTGTTTCAAAAGTTGACATCATTATTAATAATATGATGTAATTAATTTTTTTATTTTTATACTTTTGTATATCGTTTCGTACTTCGCATATGCTACAAAAATATGTGATAGTTGTACCTAAAAAAACTTATGTCTGTTTAATCATGTCGAACCCTAGTAATATGATATTAAGAAATCTTTAAATTATACGTGTGTAATTAGATAACTCCTTATAACCAAAAATTTTATTTTAGATCGTGCCATTTGTATGATATGAAATATACCAAATAAATTACAATAAAATTACATACAACCAGTTCACTTGAACATAATCTAATTTCTGTTTATTGTTATTCTAATTACTGTTTTAAATACATTATTGTACTTGAATTTTTCTACTGATTCAAAATAATTTGGGTAGGGTGGGGGATTATAGATATAAGTGTGTTTGCACTTCAATACATGAATGTTTTGTAAAGACTTCATAATTTGTAAATAATCTCATTTTATGACATATTACTAATTAATAGTAGTACAGATATTTGTTTCTATTAATTACAATTAATACTAGGTAAAAAAACAAGAAATGATTAATTCGCTTCTGTTAAAATTATAAAAAAGATTTAGAAAATCCTATTTTTTCTTCTAATGTCTTTAAGATTTGTACACCGTCAGTCCATGGAAATATACGAGCATTTATTTTTGGAATTTGGTAATTTTCAACATCATTTAACATCTTTATAAGCGTGTAATCCTTCCGCGGAAATGCTACATCTCGTTCCGAAAGTCGTATAATTGGGCACAGGTCATTTTTTCCATCGCCGACGTACACAATTCGATCAAAATGTACTCCCTCGTCATTTCGTTTCTTAACGTAATCTTCTAAAATTTGTCCTTTGCACAAATTAACAGTGCTTAATTTGCAAGAATTTTGAACGTGGTACATATCCAACTTTATTAAACCATCATCATCGATTTTCGCGGGATTTGTGAATGTTTGAGTAATAATATGATATAAATTTTTGTTCTTTAACCATTCACTAATGAAGAATGTATTCGAATCACTAATAATAATAATTTCACAGCCTCGAGAGGATAATTCTTTTAGAAGGGTTTCGATACCCGGCACAGGAGGTATATTAATAATAGCTGTTTTGATTTGGTCTATGTCGATGGAATTGCTGTGCAGCAACTCAAATATTTTCGCCATATACGGGATCCAACCATCAGAACGATATAAATCCTTCACATTGTCTGGTAAATTTTCCTTGGGCAATAGCTTTCGAGCCACGGTATCGGTATTGCCATTGGCAATTGTATGATCAAAGTCGAATGCGACGAGTACAGACCGATGCATCTATTAAAATGCAAATGTATTACAAAGCAAGCGGGTTACAACGTCAAATCACGTTCGCGTTTTAATTTAAGTTATTCAATTTGTCTATCGATTCGAATATTTGCGCAATAGTATGCTTTTTTACGGAATAATTCGAAATGATTGAACTGCATAACAGCCTTGTATATTTGTATTTTTGCTACAATTTCTGTTAGTATATATTTTGTTATACTATTTTCACGTTATGGAGATTATTTTTAAATAATATATACTACTTACTGTTAACTAAATTTTTAAACATACATGAAACCGTAATTTTGACAATGTAAATAGTAAGCAGACAAAAATTTACAACTGAATCCTCAGACAGGTGTCCGATGACTGTCGCTTGTAGGTTAAGCACACTAGATCCTATGATAAATAGCACATGTAGACTCCACTCTCCCTCTATGTACAAATTTATTTATATACAAAAACATAGTATGTATTAAATATAACATTATGTATCTTTTAATATTTGCATTACATTGTATTATTCTGCTATGTCCTTATGCTTGAAATTATATTTTCCAAGTTGAT